AAATCACCCATTCAAAGAGCAACGCTACTCAGGTTGTTTTCACATCCGCACTGCTCTTGCAAAGAGTTGGTGTTGGATGTCAGCGTTTTGTTAACTTTGGAAGCCAGCGCTTGCTCAAGCTTTTGTTTCAAATAAAGGATTTGACTTGCTCTGAAGCAAATGGGGAGAGCATGAGAGATGAGTGAAGGTGTTTCTGATGCTGTGCAGAGCTTGGGCTGCCTGACAGCATGTCATAGCCCACACCGACTGAGCGGCTAACAAGGAAACAGGGCTTTTTTCATTCCCAGCTTTATTTTCTGACCTTTAAATCATCCTCTCCTTTGAAGCAGCATATAAAACACAAGAACCAGGATGTCACTCATTTTCTCCACCTCTGAAAGAAATGTAAGAAAACAAAACAACAAACCCTTAAATGTCAAAAATCTCTTCTCCCCTGAGACGGCACCCAACAAATCCTCGTGACTACTGTAAGCTCCTGCTGCAAACTTCTACACTCTGGAAAGGTGGGCACTTTACCGTGACTCCTCACCTGGGCAAGATGCTAAGTATTTATAAACAGTGGCCAAGAGCCCTCCTCCTTGCTGAGTGTCTTGCAATGGCGAGCCAGCTGCGATACGAAGCCTTGGGGATGCAGAAGTACCAATAACACTCTGAGTGTCTCCTTTCAGGGTAGTACCTGAATCATCAGGAGCATCAGAGTTACTGGTCCTAAATGGCCTTGACCAGGAGGGCTCACTGACATTTTTCTTAGAAGATTGGCTTCCATGTCCTACTGTCATGCCACAAGACCCCGTTTCCTCATCTGCAAGTTTGGTTTTTAAAGTTGCTTGGCTTGAATCCTTAGTGTGCTGGCTCAAAGCACACCCTGGACATGCGAGCAGCTAGGTTTTGAGGGATGAAGACAAAGACTTTAATTCCACTGTCCTTTCAAATAATTTAAAAGAGAGAAATTTGTAAGGAAGGACTTTGAGGAAGTCACAAAAGCTGATGAAAGGTCTCGCTTGGATTGTTCTCTTCACCAGCTCATTGGTCCTCTGTAGATAAGAATACTTTGAACTTTTGAGTATTTCTACCCTCTAAAAATGAATTTATTATCTTTATCCTAGTCCTCTAGACTATATATAGAAAACCTGACTATCCTTTCTTAAAAGAAGGAGAGTGAAGGAGTCTGAGGAGGGTGACAGAGGGGATCAGAGAGATGAAATCAAACTGCAGCTGAAAGAAGAACAAATATCTGCCCCATGCCAAATGAAACCCATCCTCTAAGCACAGACTGAGCATTTTAGTATGGAGCTTCTATTTTCCTCCATTAAGGGGACTGGGTGATGCTCCTCTCTTAGGATGCATTCTTACCACATGGAGGGTGTATCTAGGAAGTAACTCAACAAGGAAGGAAGTATCCTCTACACTAGAAGGTAATGAAATATGAGTGCAGCTTCAGGGGTTTAGTTACACATTTAGGAGCAGCTCTCCCCCAGCTGTCACAACTCTCAGGGCTGTACGCAGCGGGGTGCACAGGGGTTCCCCCGAGCCCTGCATCTTGTGACACAGGCAGCATCAGGGGAAGCATAACACCTCCTCAGCCTCCTGGTGAATAAATTCACACCTGCCTCTTTCCTTTAGTCTCCATTGACAAAGCCCAGAGAGGAGTGGGGTGGCCAAGGGTCAGGAGAAGAGGGGAGCTGGCACATCGGGGTTTGGACCTTCGAGCGGGCGGCTGACAGCAGGATTTACATGGCAATATGTGCACATCTGTGCCCGAGCCAGGCTCCCTAGGTAGAAAGAAGTCAGGGGGGTCAGGGGTGTGATTCATCTCAGCCTAAGGCAGATGTCTAAATTAGAGCGGATGAATCATGCCCTTGAAATTCCTCCACTGAACAGAAGCTCCTCTCCCTGCCAGGGAGCCTAGCTCTGCTGCAGGTATTGGAAAGCAAAGGCTTCGCCTTCTCAGCAATGCCTCCTGCTGGGTTTGCCCACACTGCTCTCCAGGCAGGGAAACTGAGGCACCAGCACAGGCCAGGTTCATGCCTAGACTCTGCTTTTATAATCTGCACTTGGAAAACACCTACTAGTCCTGGGGATAAATGTTTGGTTCTCTCCCAGTGGGATGCAGGGAGTGAAAGACATCAGAGGGCAAGCAGCACTCACTGCTCGAGTAGCTGCAACTTCATTGCAGGGAGGTCCTACGCAGTTTGTCGGTGGAGGAAGGACAAGGCCAGGAGAGTAAGAGCACTGGGTAGCAGCTGTTGTGTTGGAAAGGCACTGGGGAGGTTGCTCTGCTAAGCAGCGGAGGTCTGCTGCTACACCAGCTTCTGAGCTGCTTCTCTGCTACTGATGTGCTGTTCAACCTTGGGCATGTCACTTAGCCCTGACGGTTTTTTTTAGTTCTCTTAGGATGGGGTCGTCATTTTGGGAAAGAAAGTTGTAACTAGGACATTACAGCCGTAATCCTTGCTTCTGCCTCCCAACAGAAGCCCTGCAGCCCCCAGCCCTCACTGCAGCTCTCCCCAGGGAAATAAAACTAAGCAACAGCTGACTCTTCGTGTATGAGAAGTCCATTGCTTATAGGACAGACAGGTCACTATGATCTGGCCAGACTTGAAATCAGTGCCAGACTCATTTGTGCTTGAACCATTTTTTCATTTTAAGCTCTTATCAGATGAGTGTGGTGGATATGGAAGCAGCCAGAGACACTGGCATTATTTTCCATGGCAGCAGGACGGGAAATCGTGGGTTTGTGCTGCACAATGAAGGTGTAGGAGATGTGGGCTGAAAAAAAGAAAAGCTTTCCTTCCTAACCAGATGCTCACAAGCAATTAAAGAAAAGGAGGGGGAGTGGAATAGCATGGAAAATTACTTGTCATTTAAACACTTTATTCTGTTTTATCACATTTGCCTTACTGTGAGAGTTGTTCCCTAAATTAATAAAAACAATCTATAGTGTAGTGAGGCAGCTAGGGGCTGGCTCAGCCTCAGCTGGCACCTATCGTTTTTGCAAATTTCAGGAATAGTCACAGACTCCCCTGAACAAATAACTGGGCTTCCTGCTCCCTTATCTCTCCGTGTGGCATTGTCCAGCTCTCCTGCACCGTGTGTACTCAGCACAACAAGCCACCGCGCGCCCTCGCGCCTCCTGATGTGATTAAATGTGGCATCGTTAATAAAACCTATGGTAATATTTCTTTCTAAAGCAGAGTGAAGATTTCATTTACCCTTCCTTCTTTATTTTGCCAAATTCCATTTTTATTTCATTGTATAATTAATCAGACACTGGAGCATATGACAGCTCGGCTTAAATTTAATTCTCACTTTTCCCATGCAGCCTTATCAGATACAGTTGGCTGGTCAAACACTGAGTTGGATTTGTCTGAAAAAGCAACACAGAAATCGCCAATCTGGATCAGCCCTTTACTCCATCAAGTCTCCCATGTTGTCTCCAGTGGCAACCAGCATCAGGCACCTCAGAGAACAAGAAGTGCACCAGGCGCTGGGGGAGAACACTGCACCAAAGCACAACTTGCCCAAAGGGGAAAATGTTCCTAACCCTGGTGGTCCTCTGACATGAGAGGGTGGCTGTGCCCAGCACATGAAGGAGACACACACACACATCCCATCCTGGATAGCTGCAGAGCTTTGTGTTCACTCTGAGTGCCCATGGGATGGCCCAATCTACTTGGACCTTGACCAACCAGGTGAAAAAAAGTGGTGTGTGCAAAGCCTGGAGGCTGCTCAAAGGCTTAGACCTTGCAAAAACATCAGTGGGTAACATGGGACAGGTTATATTCTGCAAAGTGCGGAACTCCAGGCTCTAAAAGATAAAACATGAAATCATTTCAGTCCTCTACTGTTCTCTACACCAGGGAAGTGCAGCACAGATCTTGCTGGCATACAGGACCGTGGGCTTTATTTATTTTGTTACCCTTTCCCCATGCAGAATTTCTTTCCTAGTACTGCAGTGTCTACAAGTTTCATTCATCTCACCTTCCCACTAAACACCAATAACATGCAAGTTGGTTACGTGCACCAACTTGCTTCTGCTTCGTGATCCCCTCCCCAGGTCTGTGCAGGTCTGTTCCTCCAGGCTATTTTTCCCATACCTGGATAAGCTGGACCTATGTCTTGCCTCTTGGCCATCTGATGTCCTCCCAGAGCAGGACAGGGCTTGGACATGCCACACCAGCACCTGTGTGTTCCTTGGACCAATTGCCCATGTCAGGACATCAGGTCATGATGCGGTCGGTGGCTGGAGGATTTGGCAGGTGAAGGGTTTAGGGAGTTGGAAAGGAGCATGGGAGTGAGATCCTGGTCTGGGGAGACACTGGGAAGAAGTTCTTGTCTGAAAAATAGCAAACAAAGGCAATATATATATTTTTTACATATATATATATATATCTGAGAAACAGAGAGAGAGGAGATACACAAAACTCATATTTATACATATATACACCCAAATACACCCAAATTCACAGATGCAAGGAGGCCTTATTAAATCAAAAGTGGAGGATTACCTTTTTTAAAAAAATACAATAAAACAAATTAAATTGCCAAAAGTCTGGGATTTTCTAAGTCAGAGCAGGCTGGGAAGAGCTTCCACTGGCATCTAGTGGTACGTTGCAGAGGCAGAGGCATTGCAGCTGCTGGCACAGCTTCACTTCCAAAATGAGTCTCCCTGGGTTAGTGGAGACTATTCAGACTGGAAGGTCACCACTTCCAAACTGGGCTTAGGAAGAGGCATTTTTGGGCAGTTAGTCCAACCATGCCCTGATTATTTTGTCCATGAAGCCCCTTTAGGGATGAGCATGAGGCTGAGTCTATTTTTGACCATGTAAGCAAAACCTTGGGGTTATACCAAGACATATTTGGTCCCTTCTTTTCTTGGACTTTGGGGTTTGTCTGAGCCTCAGGGGACAGCAGGCTCATAGTCCCCCCAGATGTTCCAGGTGAGCCCCTCATCCCTGTCCCATCTCAACTGCTCACCCTCCATGGTGCCACACGCCAAGATGGGGCTGGCTGGTGGAGCTGCTGGACTGGTAGCATCCATGGTGTTGGGTTCCAATGAAAGGCAGGATTTGTGGGAAGGTATAGAAATGGGAAGGATGGAAAAGGGGAACGTGTTGCCTAAGCAATCCTGCACATGATGGATCTCACTTCAGCATACCTGAGGTCTACCATCATGGTCTCTCCTGTCTGTCTGGAACCTGCTGTGGCACTTTCATGCATCAAAACCTCCCGTAAGGCAAACTGAATGGAGCTTGTGTATTTTCTGCCATGCATGCAGTGGTATAAACACAGTGAGATTTGCGTGGTTTCTTCCTTCACCGGACTGGGATACAAGCTGGTGTGTAGAAGCACCTTTATAGTGGTGCTGCTGCCTCCTACTGCTGGTTTATACTGGGGTAGGAAATACATCAGCAGACTTTAACCAAGGCACATACAGTATGTGAATTTTCTCACCAGATTTCAACTCCAAGAACATTCTAACCCTGAACTTCCTTGTGTGAGCTTAGCCAGGCACCTCACCATCTCCTGCCTCAGTTTCCCTGAATCAAAGAGGGGAAGAAAAGCTTGTTTGCACCTAAACCCCTCCCAAAGAAGCATCCTGGGCTCGATCTGCCTGATAGGTCTCTAAGCCTAAGCATGCAAGGCAGATCCCGATCTGGGTGCTTTCTGGGAGGTCCTGCTGAGGCTCAGCCTCTCTCAGGTGATGCTCATCTCTCTGCTAAATCTATTCCATATGTTTCAGGGTCCAGCCTTTTCAAATCTGCCTTTTGCGCTTTCACTGAGCATTTAAAGGGATCCTTAAAGGTAACTAGTCACCAGCCTCAGTTGCTACGTCGCCCCAGGGGGACTGCAAGCTGCCAGGGACACAAAATTTTCCCTGAAATGCATCTTTCCTCTCCTGAGGCTTCTTAGAGCAAGTCCCAGACGCTCAGCCTAGGAGGGAAGAAGGATGCTTGCAGCACTGAGGGATGTTTTTTCCTTCCTGTAACAAAACCGCAAACACTCTCAGCTGGTGAAAAAGAGAAATGGCCTGATCCTGACCCACCGGCTGCCAGGGTGGAGAAGGCAGGATGGAGGGATCAGAGCTGCTGGGGAGAACTACAATTCCCAGAAGGCAGCGTGAGCCAGGGACCCTTGCAGCTCCCCACCAGTATAACGGTGCAGAAGAAAAGCACATCAGGGAGAAATTCCCTTCCTCTCCCTCCCTGAGCTCCAGCTACCACCTGGGCGGTGGTGTGCAAATCCCTCCCGCCAGTACGAGCGGAGAGCATCTCCCCTGTTCTCCCCTGTGCGCCTTCAACCTTTGCTCTTTGTCTTTGTTTCGCTTCACCCTTCCTCCGGTAGCTCTCACCGCACTGGCCACAGACTTCCTTTAGGTCAGCCCAGCTGCGGCTGCGACACAACTTGCAGCCAAGTCGCAAACACTCTTGTGCCATTGAGACTGCTCCGGAGGAGAGAAATGCCAGCCTGAGATGGGAGACCCGCGCAGGTAAGATGCTTTCAGCCAACCGCCCTTAATTTGTCCGGGTAGCCCCAATGAAAGATGAAGCAACTCCCTGGGATCTGCTTCTGCCCTTGATTCAAACCCAGAGCCCGGGGGAGTGTGGAGTTGGAAGTAAAGGCAGGATTTGGATCTGTAGGATCAGGATATTGAGGAAAAAAAAAAAAAAAAAAAAAAAAAAGGCAAGAAAGCAGGCAGGAACTTCTTCTTTTACCCTGATCTGAATTCGGGGGTTTGTTGCTTTTTGCCCAAACCCAGAGGCTATTGAAAGGCTGCTGGCAGTGAGTTGTTTATTCTAAGGGAGCAGCACGAGCATCGTGGCGAGGAGAGAGGCCGTGGGAGCTGAGGAAAAAAAACCTTGGCATCAGCCAGACCCCGCAGGAGGGTCCTTGGTGGTGGGAGGCTAAATCCACAACCTGCTCAGGGGGTTGATGACCTTCCTTGTAAAAATATGCTGTTGAACTTTTTTGAGCCCTCTTTCCAGCCTGGCTGATGCTGAGGCTTTGTCTGCTGGATTAAAACCAGTTGTAGGTGTCACAAAGCCGCTCCCCCAGCTAGGAGGGGGTCTGGACCCCCAGAGCCTCCCCTCCACTAGCAAACAATAGACCCAGATGCTGCTCCAAGCATGTGTTTTGTGTCTCCTGGCTCAGTATGACTTTGTAGGTAATTGGGTTTTGGTTTGGGTTTCTTTTGTTGGTTTTTTTTTGTTTTGGTTTTTTGGTTTTTGTTTGTTTGTTTGTTTTCCTGTGGTTCCTCTGTACCAGGATGGAGAACTCAGCTTGGAGAGGAGCACTGTTGTGAGCACCTACTGGTCCTGATCCCTGGTGATCCAGATGGGTTAGCTGAAGGAAAAAAAAAAAAGAAAAAAAAGTGGTGTGACTAAATCTGAAGTAACTTTCCCCATTACAACTGTGCTCTGAAATGTGAAACAGCTGCCCACTTCATTTACCACTCAGACCTTTCTCCTCTGAGGAGCATGTAGCTGCAAACTCTGCAACACAGTTGTGCAAATCTTTCATCACCCCTTTCCCCATCACCCCTACACCTTGGTGACAGGCTTCCCAGGGACTACTCATCACTGCCACAGCCTTCCCCGCAATCCAGCCCTCCCGGGACAGATTTCACTGACAACCCCTGGCCTTGCTGGCAGCCTGCCCCATAACTGGTGATTTTGGCAGCCTCACCTTCAGCCATCAGTGCCATCAGCAAAAGTCTGCTCAGCCACGTACACTTTTGCTGACAGTCATCTCCAGAATCACTGCCTGCCACCCCTCAGTCTTTCTGGTTCTTTTCTCTCCTGCAATTTCAGTCTTGATAGGAGATGTTCCTCACATCTATGTTGGTCCTGATTTTTTTTTTTTTTCCTAATGGAAATAAATAGGACCCAGACCCTACTGTTGATTGAACCCTCTTGAAAAGGACAAAATCACTGAAGGTTTCCATATCTCACTTCTTCAGCTGCCCACTGAGGACACCACTGACACGTCTCCCCCCTCTCTCCCAGTACAAAGCAGAGAAACCCAGTTTTTCAAATGGTGCCAAGTTTAGTTTTCTTCTAGTTTTGGAGGATTTTGGTTGTTGCACAGTCACTCATCAAAAATTGATCTAACTACAGCAATTACTGCAAATTGCATTAATTAATTAACTTATTTGCTTACAAATCTTCTTTGTCAAAGGACAGAGAACTATGCTGAGAGTAGATCATTAGTGCAACAATAGGAGAGCCGAAACCTCAACGTCGTTGCAGCAGCAAGTGCCTCGCAGATCCCCACATCGCCAGAGGAAACTAGTCTGTTCCTGCTCTCTCTGCTGGAGTCCAGATGAGCCTGTGGCTTCGAAAGTCTCAGGTTCAGTCTCCCATGGAGCAGCCAAGGTGCCACCTGTCGTGTTTACACAGAGAACACAGCACGTAGAGACAAAATAATGACTTAATAATTTTCCCTTTCTTTTTCCATTCCAGCAAGCTGAGTCTCCAGGAATGCCAGGGAAGCCTCTTCAGGAGACCAGAGGCGGCAGGAGATGGAGTTACAAGCATTGCATCTGCAAGCTGAGGTGGAAGGAGACTGCAAAATGAGGAAGACCCTACAATCCTTGTTGGCCCAGAGCGGGCATGCAGCAGCAGCGCCCTTTCCCTTATGGGGAATAAGGTGCATCCATTAAAGTCCACTTTCATGTGTGTGTCCTGATGATTTTTGTACCCTTACAGACAGTCCATCCCCATAGCCTCGTGGCTTTTTTGTACCTGTCAGCTGCTTGGCAGCCTCATCTCGCACCACCGAGTGCGGGGTGCTGCCACCATGAAGGACTTGGTCAAGTGCCCAGTGCTGAAGACACACCTGTGCCAGGAATGCGGCAGATCCTTCAGCAAGAAGGGAAACTTGAAGAGACACCAGCGGATCCACACGGCAGAGGAGCTCTTCACTTGTGGAGAGTGTAGGAGGCGCTTCACCACCCGGGGCCACCTCACGACCCACCAGAGCATCCATACGGGAGAGAAACCCTTCTGCTGCGGGGAGTGCGGGCGCTGCTTCCGCCTGGAGATCTGCCTGGCCGCCCACCAGAAGACCCACGCCAAGGGTGGGCCCTACCTCTGTGCCCGCTGCGGCAAGAGCCTCAGCACCAAGATCTACTTCAACATCCACATGCGTACGCACACGGAGAAGAGGCCGTTCGCTTGTGCCGAGTGTGGGAAGAGCTTTGTGAAGATGGGGATCCTCACTGCCCACAGGGAGATCCACAAGAGGGAGAAGCCCTTCAAATGCCCCGACTGCAGTAGGTGCTTTGGGCAAAGTGCCACGCTGGTGGCCCATCAGAAGATACACCTCCGTGGGGGACCTTTCATTTGTACCGAGTGTGGGAAGAGCTTGAGCACCAAGCAGTATTTTAACGTCCACCAGAGGAACCATGCTAAGCAAAAGCTGCTGAAGGGACACATCAATGGTGTGTCTCTGCAGGTCATCCAGATTAAAGAGGAGCCTGATTTTGCCTTCAGGTCAGAGGAGAATATGTTGGAGGATATGTCCCATGAAGGAGATGTAGCCCAGGGGTGCAGCATACCTAGAAACCCACCTAATCCAAAAAGCCCTCCTTGGAAAATCCAGATGAAGGAGGAACCAGACCCACCCACTGATGACACAGCAAACATTACTGCAATAGCCTGCCAGAAACTTTACATTCAGGAAGAGCCACCAGAAAACCCAGACTATGGAAAGCTCTTTGATCCAAAGATCCCACTGATGGTTTTACAGGGGATACAGCTTAAAAAGGAAGAAGATGCTGACAGGCAGCATGAACAGGAAATCAGTAACTGGGTATTCCACGTAAAGGAAGAACGACAGGAAAGTGTTGAGTTTGGGATGCATTATGAGCAGAAGCCAAACCTCAGTTCTATCCAGAGAATCCAGATTAAAGAGGAACCTGGTGTGGAGGCCAACCTCCATGAGAGCCAGAGCCCAAAGAGGAAGAAATGCTATCAGCCCGCCAAAGAGGAGATGGTGGAGAACTGGGAGAAATCCACCTCCAAGAAATCTCCATCAGCAAAAGGAGCGCCCAAGAGTGAGCGGATATTCCCCTGCCCAGAGTGTGGGAAGACTTTCAGTCATAAATCCAACCTGACCAGACACAGGAAGATCCACACGAGCGAGGGGCCGTACAAGTGCAGCGAGTGTGGGGAGAGCTTCCGCATGAACCGCAAGCTGATCCGCCACCAGCGAGTCCACATGAGCGAGCCCTTCAAATGCCCCGAGTGTGGGAAGAGCTTCACCCAGCGATCCAATCTGGTTCGGCATCAGAGGATTCACACCAAGGAGGAGCCCTACCAGTGCCCTGAGTGCGAGAAGACCTTCAACCAGAAGGCCAACCTCTTCCGTCACCAAACAATCCACGTTCGCATGGGGCCTTGCAAGTGCACCAAGTGTGGGAAATGCTTCCCCCAGAAGCGCCACCTGATTAAACACCAGCTGCTCCACTCTCGAGGTGGGGCCTACAAGTGTGGGGTCTGTGGGAAGCGCTACCGGCTAAAGAGGTACCTGAGGAGGCACCAGAAAATCCACGCACGGGAAGGAACTGCTCCCTGCACAAAACTGGGAGAGGCCATGAGGACTCGCAGCGGACCCCACCATACTGAACAGCGAGTGCTGGGCCCCGTGAAGAGCAAAGAGGAGAGCTGAGCTGGTGTGGTGCCGGCTCCTGGGCGAAAGTCCTTTGGGAAAGGGGAGGGACAGAGACAAACTCTACTCTCCCTATGTGTGCAGTACTTAACTGTGGGGAGGTCAACCTGAGGGGACAGTGAGGTTTAGGGGACTGTCATCTGCAGCTTTTCTGAGGACAACCCTTGGGGTATCATTTTCTCACAGCTGTGGGATGGGGCTGGAGAGCCAAGCCTCTTCAGAGCACTTGAGGTGGAGGGATAAGAGCTTGGCATCCTTTGTAATGGCATGCTTGTGCCTCTTGTGGATGCCAAAATTGTCTTGTGTGGGGAATATATAGCCAGGAGGACCAGGCAGGATTTATTTTTATTACATTACTGTGTTTCTGAGAAAGCTGAAGGGAACTTCTCCCATCTAGGTAAGGGTTTAAAGCAAGGGACAACTCTCTTCTCCCTCACGTAGCTCTGATTCACACCTTGATCCCTCTGGGCTGATGGACAGATTTGAGAGAAACCACTGCCAGCCAGACCAGGGGTTTAAGCCTTGAATCGCTCAAAGCAGGCTCACAGATTGGCTTAAACCAGGTCCCTAAAACTAAGTTATGCAAAATCAATGGTTGTTTTTCCAAAGATAGCCCAGAGGCCAGCAGATTGTATTCTGGTTTGTGCCCTCACAACCCCTCTGCATGGATGTAAATGAGACTGGCTTTTCTTAGCATTGAGTTTTACATTGCTGATGAGCAGATGGCTTTGCCACGACAAGTCCCAGAGGCATCAGTGACTTCACCAGCTTGAACAACAACAGTGCTGGTTCTCAGCCAGCTGCTTCCCTACCTGTTACTGTGGAGCTCTTGGTAGGACGCTGACATTGTTTGGCATGATTTAGGGAATTCAAACCAAGCAGCAAAAATCAGACTTTATGGACTAGAGAACTGGAAACTATTTCCCCATTGGCATATTTTCCCTTCCTCTCCCTGGTGTAAAGGAGACTGTGCAGATACTCAAACGCATGGACAGTTCAGCAGTCTTTATTGCTCACTGCTAATAATTTTGTTTGAGTGTTCCCTAGTCAGATGGATATTTGTGTCTTGAAAGTCCCTGGTGAAATTACGATGTGGAGGGAATCCACAATCCCCTGAGCCCCTCCCCAAGATTTCTCTGCAGCACAGCGACGTGCACACCTGGGCATTGCTGAGCAAAGACACATATTGGGGTTTGTGGTGTTGCTGTAATATGTAGAGTCCAAGAGGCAAGTGCAAAAGTGTTCCATGGTGAAATAGTAGCTCTAATTGCCTGGTTTTGTAGAAGAAAAGAAGCCCCCTCCCCATCCCCAAGGCACACACCGCCTCCTTCTCCCAGGACATGTTGCAGATGGCATCTTCTTAGAGCCAAGTTGCTTATTGTCTGCACTGGCTACTCGGGAGATCTGCCCCTCTAGGCAGGGAAACCAAGGCACAGAGAGAAGGAAAGGAACAGGACAAGCTCTTATTGAGCTTTGTCTTTACCAGCTACTTGGACAACATCGCGTTGAGGTGCTTTGTTGCAATGACTCATGCACAACACTGAGTACAGCTGCCAAACCCCAAAAGCACAGAGTAATTTTGGTGTTTAGTCAGGCTTAGTCGGTGCAGTAAGGCCCAGGACATGATTTCAAACAGCAAATCTCTGACAGCCTCTGAAGGAGCCTACCTCAGCCCCTCGTCTGTACACCGTAGCCAAACTGGTTGATGTGAAGCTTCCCCTCAAATCCCTCTGATGTGGTGGAGATTCATTTCTGGGACAGAAAAGGAAGACATAGAGGGAAAACCAATAAGTTTAGGATGCTCTAGGGGAGACTAAGGAGCACCCTTGTTAGAAATATGGGTCTGGGCCATATGGTGGGTAGATACTTCACTCCAGGACGGAGAAACAACGTTCCTTGGGAAGAATGTGGCTGACCCAAACTAGCAAAGCAAAACAGCCTCTGTTAGGCTTGCTGAAGGGCAGAGATACAGCAGAGCTCTTCAGTGGGGAGAAAATAATCACCAGATGACTGGCATTTATTTCCTTTTCATTAGCCTAGTGTAGGGCTGTAGAGATTTTTACCAGGAAGAGGAAACAGTATGAGAGGTTTCCCAGTTGTGTTGTGCCCCTGCACAGAGAAAGGGCAATGGGTCAAGGTCAGTAGCTTTCCTGGAGATCCCTGGCTCTTCCACCATTGACCATGGCCAGTGTGGGTGTCCTAGCTTCTGGGGAAAATCAGGTCTGATAGTTTGTGATATCTCCTCAATAAAGTAAATATTTAAAGAAAAAAGGAAACTAAGTAAGCCTCTTTTCTGTTTTGTGGTTTGGTTTTGGGGGGTTTTTTTGTGGTTTTTTTTTTTTTTGGTTGGTTGGGTTTTTTTGTTTTTTAATAAGATATCCCTGAGAAAACCACGCTACATTCTACCCTCAGTGCAACATGTGAACAATGCCAGAGCAAGATTCACATCAGTGGTGACAAAATGAGTGTTGTTGGTGAAGAGCCCTCTGGGGTCTGCTGACCACGTTGACCAGCTCTCCACCAACGACACTGAGAGCTCAGACTTCCACATACTGACCCCAGGCCTCCAGTCAGTGACTCACACATAGGGACCACATGAAGTGCCTTGAGGTGTCTTCATAGGGCCAGAAGGACACAGGCCTTAAGGGGGACCTTGACCTTTCTGGATGAGCAACCAGAGGCCAGGACATTTCAAACTACACCAGACACCACAATGTGAGAAACTGAAATGATGCCCTAAGTATGGGTGTTTTCATCCATGAGCTAAACTCCATCCTCAGTGTCCCACCTGTGAGAGCACAATGCTTGAAGGGCAAAGGGAGTCTTCCTTGGGTGCCACCAGGATCTGCCTGGGACATTACACTGTGACTTTCTCCAGGACAACTCCAAAGAGATGCCTTGCAGATAGCTTGGGCTTCCGGCTCTGGTGTCTGCTGCTTGCAGTTGTGTTGAGTTTGGATCGGGACCATGGAATAATCTCAGCTCCATGAGAAAAAAATACATTTATCTGGGGATTGAACAAAGCCAGATCCTCACCCCTCAGTAGCAAAATAGCCTTCACCTTTTTCTCCCTAAACACATTAAAATGGCTCCCAGGTAATAATAAAGTGCTTAAAATCCAAATCATTGCTTCATTCTCCACTGCATGGATTTCATGCAGAAAACCACACCCGTAAGCATTCGCTGAGCCATTTCAGTCACCAAGTGAACAGGATGCCCACAAGGTCTGGTTTTGCCTTCGAGTCTATACAATAAATTCAGAGTGGTCAAGCTGAAACCGATGGGAGTTAAATCAAAGTAAAACTTATGTTAACGAATAGATACTGAAGCTCTGATGTCTTTTAAAAAGAAATCTTCTGGTCTTATACAGTGGGTCAGGTAGGGCTTTGTCTTGAGACAATTGCTGTCCTATTTCTAGCCATGCACATTGATCCTGTGGATTTCAGGAGGAATTTGTCTGTGGGACTTTTAAAAATCACCTCATTGACTCATCAACTATCTGTGTGTATCATCTCAGCACCAGTTCTGTCTCCAGCATTCGGTGTGGCCTGTCTGGAGGAGAGATGGAGACAGGCTGTGTTGGGGAGCACTTGAGCAAAAGCGCGTCTTTCGTGCTTCGATGGGATGCATGGAGCGGATTGGTGCTCAGTATGTTCTGGTATGGTGGGAATGAGAGGGTCTTTGGGGCCAGAGCAAACAACTGCTCCAACATAAGTACCCTGAGATGTTTACTTGCTCTTTGAGAAAATTATGGTTCCCATGAGAACTTTGAGAATCCCAGGCTGCAGGGAGCCTGGGGTCCCCTCAGATGGGGAGTGAGGAGAGGAAAAAGACCAGGGCAAAAACTGGGTGAGCAACAGGATGCTCAGTATCACATACTTCCACACATGCTTTATCTGTTCACTTTTGACTCACAGCCTCCGTGGGGAACAAGTATTTACTTCCCACCACCACCTTACCTACCTCTCATCCCATCCAGGGCCAAAGTGAGGCCACCAGGCAGCACCACGTGGGACCAGGTGATCAAGCTGAACTGCCTGTCACCAAGGCACACTTGGAACCACTGCCACCATCTCCTGGCCCAAAGCACAACCCCTCCCTCAAAAGTGATTTCTTGTGCTGGAACAAAGCAAAGGTGAGAGGTCTGCATCAAACGACCAAAGCTTCTGAGTAGTCCCCACCTGTGGATTTTCTGAACAAAGTCATAGAAAAATCTGTGATCTCCTTTTCCAGGATCAGTGTCAGCCTGAAAAGAAGAGCAGCCCCTGCAGTGCGGTGGGTGAGGTGGGCAGTGCTGGCCTGTGGCTCTCTGATAATTGCACAAGCAGTGATTACAGGACACTGCTATCCTTTGTAAAAAGACTGCTGCCCCACAGGGGACATTGCAGAGCCCTGCTGTTCACTCTTTTTTGCACCCCAAGCTGATTTCTGTCTCTTCTTGCTTCTGTCTGGCTTTGTCCCTGGGGAGCTGCTGTTTCAAGACACTGACCTCCTCCAAGTCTCTGCAAACCAAAGGCAGAAGTAGGAAGCAGAGATCTGGAGATCCTTCCCTACCAAGTCACAAGATTGTCTCCTTTTTTCATTGTCTGAAAAAAATAGGATAAGAAATAAGATACAGACTGTTCTCATTTCTACATATGTGGTGGTCTTTGAGGAGCAAAACAGACTGAACAGTGAGGGTCTGAACACAGAGGACAGCTTCTGCTAGGAGAGTAACAGGGTTTTGAAGTCGTGTAGACATTATACCTGTGCTGAGGTTCACTCACCCTTAGACACGTCTGCAGAGCAGAAACCCAGTCCCTGCAGGAGGGCTGGGAACAGCACCAGTGTGAGCTCACTCTGGGGGGACAGGACCTAAGAGATGAAAGTAAATGTTGATCTCATGAAATACAAGCTAAGCAGCCCTGAAAAACAGTTATTCCTAGTCAATGCTTGTCCTGGTTTCAGCTGGGACAGAGCTAACTTTCTTCACAGCAGCTGGTGTGAGGCTGTGTTGGGGT